CCTGGCAGGCACAGTAAACTGCCTAACATGTTCTCGGCTGCTGCACCTGTATAACCAGTGGAGAGCAAAGGGTTAACAAAGATCCTGAGGGAAAGAACAGTGATAATGGAAAAAGGCTAAACACTAAGCTAACAAAATCTCTATGCTACTCACAAGAAAGAAGCCAAGGTAAGAGTAATTTCAATCAGTAACACCACTAGAAGCACAAATCTCCCACTTTGGTCACAGTAACACAAGCTCCTTTCCATCAGTTCCCTACTATTCACCTTGGTCTCCATAGAGAAAATACAAATCATTAGGTCATTTCAACTAGCTTTCACTTGGTTTTCAGCAAATTTTACATGTCCCTAACATTTATAGTCCTACATGGATTAAAAGCACTCACAGACATTTAACCACAGAAAGTTATATTAATCAAATGTTTTCTCCTAGCACATCAGCCACACATTCGGAGCAGTAAAATATATTTGCAGGAAAATACATATCTCCTCTGTAGCACTCATTCAACTGTAAATACAGCTTACTGCCCAAATAGAGCTTACTGCCAAGAAAAATACTACTTTGGCATCTGAACAAAATAATGTAAAACCAATTGAGAAATCTGTTTACACTACTTAAATATACAGAGAGAATTAAACATTGTACACCTGTGTTAAAAATACTCTAGAATGCTCCGCTTCTTCAGATTAAACCTAATGAAAGAACAATTCTACGTCAGTGCATGAAAACCTTTTGGAAAAAGGTTACTGATAAAAGCTACCTTTTAAATTTAATAAATGCAATAATTACAAATAAAATGATGTCTGGAACCTGCCTAAATGGAGGGGGGGTAGGGTATAATAAGGTGGGAGAAGAGATGAAACAAAACTGGCTCTGTGTATGTGTGTAATTGTTGAAGCTGAGTGATGGGTGCACAGTCTTCATTATACTATTTTCTCCTGTATTTGAAATGTTCCATAATTTAAAAAGAAAATAAAGACTATGATTACAAGATGCTATGAATCTTTCAGAATGGATAAAACAGTATCCTAAAAAGTGTAAATTTTAACACATGTAAATTGTACCTTGATAAACTTGATGTAAGAAAAAAAGAGAAAAAAACTGGTCATTATTTGGAACTGAATTAATCCTTCCAGAAGCAAATTCGTATTTTAGAGAATCTCAGTAGCATATCAATCTGAAAGATTTTACAGGTATAACCTGTAAGAATTTTCATCTCAAGGCAAGGTGTTTTAGTCTCAAAAGAAGAATATGCTAATCATAGACTAAGAACACGTACTCTGCCCTACAAACAGGACTTGACAAGGAGTTAATTCAAAAGACTGGTTTCTCTTTTTTTGCAGGAGGAGAGGCACAAATCTAGACAACACTACCTATGTCTAATAAAGAAAAAAGAAATACACAAATGCCTTGTCACATACAGTTCTCTCAGTTTCCCAGTTATTGCTAACATACCCAGCACGTCTGTCAGAGCACTGGAGTGCCCTCCCACGAAGGGTGGGTGGATATGAATAATTAAATAGCAATCTTTCAGAGACATTAAACAGCAGTTACCTGCAATTTCCTGCAAGCGATCTTCATCAATGTTAGGGTCGAAATCACTTCCCAAGACATCGGTACTCCAGGTCTCACTCACTGTTTCTGATATATCCCTGTCGTCTGTCAGCCCCATCATGTCTCGAATTTCAAACTTCCTTAGCTTATCATCAAGATTATCCTGTGTTGTAGCTATTAAAAATAAAGTTAAGCACTTAAAAAATAGTAGCACAGCTATCATTTTTTTAAAACAAATTTAAAGAACTTTATGTCTTTGAACTACAAGTTGCATATTTTAACATTAACACTCAGCACACAGTACTAAAACACAGGATTATTCCCTCACTGATGTACTCTTTCCTTCTCTGAACCAAGCTCAGCCAATGTCCTCCCCATTCTGGTAGATTAACTGGAGCCATCAATGCAGTCAATTGTCTCCCTGTCCTCTATAGTGTTACTTTGGTCAAAAATTGGGATATAGTCTCCTTTCTTTGAATTTGCACAGGCCTGGTTACTTGCTTTGTCCAAAAGGGTAGGGAGGAATGTGTCAGTTGCGAGATTAGGCCTCAGGAGACCTCATAAACATGTGCTCTCTCTCAACTTTCTCCCATGAGAACAACTGAGACTAGCCTGCTAGAGGATGAGGAACTACATGGAACAAAGCAAAGGTCATCCTAGGCCAGCCAGCTCCCCAGTGACCAACGGACCCCAGCTAAGATCAGCAGAGCTCGCTACTGGACCACTGGTGACTATAGATCCATGAGTGAGCCCAGTTCAAATCAGAAGAACCACCCGGCTGACCCACAGACTTGAAAGCAAAAATAAATGTTCATTGTTTCAAGTCACTAAGTTTTGGGGTAGTGTGTTATGCAGCATTACTGGGGCAAAATTTAACAGATAAACCCATACTAAAAAAAAGGGTTTTTTTCTGCTTGACTTGGATACAGCCCTCCAGTTCTAGAGTTTTCTCTCTTCCCTTGACCAATGAGAAGCAGTCTACAATTTATCTCAATTAATTTCTTAACCTAGTATTTCACAAAGTGTAGACTGCCCACCACCCAAATCAGAATCACCTAGAGGGTTTGTTAAAGAGGTGACAGTCTTTCAAATTCTATCTTAAGCTAGTATTATTTTAGGTTTCTGTTATTTGCAGAAATTTTAATCCTAAATGATACAGTGACAAACTGGTCCAGTAAAACACAGCATTATTTTTATTCAATCCACACATTACCCAACTAGAAATACTCTTCCCTTTCTAAAAACAGACTGAACCAGGATTTCTGGAAGTGAGACGTGGGAAAAGCCTTTCTTCCTCCCTAACTCCCTGAGTGATTCTTATGCAAACTAAAGTCATTGCCTCAAATCCAGTGGAGGGCATCTGCCCTCAACACTCCCTTGAAAGCCATCAGTGACCTTTAAATGAACAAATCCAAAGAACTTTTTCAAATTACTCTTCCTAAAGCACAAGAGGAATCCATCTACTTTTCTGTCCTTACTTCGCGCTAGTCCCCTGTCTGACAGTTCCTGAGTAGGTCCTATGGTTGCCTCTTCTCTGACTTGCTTACACTATTCCTAGGATATCTCCAGTTTGGGTCAATGCAGTGCTCCTTTAAGGCTACTGTTTGCTCCCAAGAAGCTATTTCCTACACTTTCAACCACATGCATCTCTCACTCAGAACTGCCAAAGCACTTGTATGACAACTTTTAGTCATTTGCGTACTATTCTCTATTTTAAATTCCCTCAGCCCGAGTTTTTAGGTTAGTATCCCTTAAAATTTTAATACTACAGAATTGAAACACCAAATATTACAGAATTCAAGCAATTCATGTTAATTATTCTATGTAATTTAAATCTAAATAATTCACTTAGCAACTAAATATATTTTTAAGAACTGAAGGAACTGTAAATAAACGCAAGTTTAATGGTCATTATATAATCAACCGAACACAGCCAACTTATATGGAAACAGACTGTGTATCCTGCAACCAGGTAAACTCCCTGCTACTTGAGCAGCTGTACTCAACCTCACTTTACCTTGTTCATGCTCTAATAGCTGCAGAGCTTCAACTCCGTTACTCCCAGAAGGTCCTGCTCCAAGTTCTGATACAGACTCTCCCTCCAGGTCTAGTGAGGACACTGAATTAGAACGGTTTGAGGGACCTAGAGAAATGTTTATACTGTGAGTGAGCTTTTTAAAAGTCATGAGCCACCATGTAATTCTTAATGCCTTGATAAGAGACTAAAAAGACTGATTAAAGTGTCTTTAATACTACATTTATACCATAAAAATACACACACCCTTTAAGTCAGCAATTTTGCTTTTAGAAATTTATCCTAAGGAACCAATCAAAAATTCATCTAAGGTTGCTTGTTGCAGGGCTTCTTATAATGTCTGAAAAGTGAATGCAATCTACATGTTTAATCATAGAAGAATGTTTAAATAAATTATGATATGCCCAGTTGAAGTTAAAGAAAACCACCATTAAAACTGTTATTTAAGAATGCTGAATTACAAAGGGAAACATTACTGTTATACTGTTTAAAAAAAAAGGTTACAAACAGTGTAAACCTAATTTTGATACAAATAAACCAAAATGTTAACTGTTAACAGAATGGTAAGAGTATAAGATCATTCCATTTTTTTCCTCACTTTCTAGGATGAAGGTACATTACTTATGTTTTCCAAAGTTTAGGGGAAAAGGGAAAGTTGTTAAGTTTATGTTTATTTCAAAATGTTAGTAAACTAGAAATTTTTCATTACAAACGTTTGTCCTAGCACATAGAGCGACATATTCTCACTTCACAATCTTGCTTTTTAATTTTCTTTTGTATTCCCATCCTACTTCCATTATATTTTTTTTGCTTCATTAAAAGCATACACAACATAGTGAAATACTAGTGAGTGCATTTTTTTTTCCATTTAGACATGCATTATATCCCTCTAAAGGAGCTCTATAAGCTTTGGTATAAATACTAGAGAAACAAAACTTGGTATTATTCAATCCCAATGAAGACTTAGATCCTCTGCATTTTTTATGACCAAAGGTCTCTTGCAATCTTAATTTTATTCAAGAAACAATCTTTACAGCCAACTGTTCAAGATCATTAGAGGAAAACCTCATTACTCTCCTCAGTGAGAGGCACAGATGGTATAATTATAATTTATAAGGCTCCTTTAAAGAACACAAAACAAAGTATTACTTGAATCACACAACTCCTTGAATGAAGTAACCCTTCACCTTCAGATATTCCTTCCAGATTATCACTGCAGAGGGAAAAGCGCAAGGTTTTATCAGGTTTACCGTGGAGTTTGTTTTCATCGACAGGGACATCTCCTTGTCCTCCATCCGAAAGCTGCATGTTTAGGACCTAAAAAATAAAACGACATTTGTTTATCAAAACTGAAAGATTACTGGTAAGGAAAACACCATGGCAAATACATATTAAATTCTTCCTAATATTAGATTATCATTTTTAACCAAAAACCCATTTACAAGGTCCTGATCAAGTTTTTAAGCACCCCTAGAATAAAAGTATATCAATTAGAAGAACTGAACCTTACTGGTGTCAGAGACAACGGCAAAAGGCAACGGGACACTGACGCACAGTGATTAGGACTGCGGGAACCAGAGGCTTTGGAGTCAGCAGTCCAGCCCTCCTAGGTCTGCCATACGCCAACTATGTAAACCTGGATAAGTTTAAGCTCCCTAAGCCTCACCTTCTACGTCTATAAAATGGTGATAGGAACAGTATATATGCCATGGAGTTGTAGAGGATTAAATAAAAAGATGCATATAAAGCATCTAGCATAGTAAGATGACAGTAACCTTGCAAACATTTTTTTCAAAAGATAATAAACTAATTCAACAGGAAGAAAACAGGCAACTATTTTTTACAGAATAATAATTCTAGACAGAATCAGTCAGTCTAGCTGGAACCTCTACTCGGTTACCATATACACAGCTACAAAAGTCCATACCAGAAGCTGAAATATGACTTTCAAGCCATACTGACCTTGGAGTTGATTGCCTTTTTATAGTGTTTCCTATCTGTGAGATGACTTCCAAATAACATAATTACTTCTCACTCCCCACAAGCCTAATTACTCAGCTCTGTGTGTCTATCACCAATCTAATGAAGAACTGAGTGCTTTGCTGAGTCACACAGCTTGTTTTAAGCACACCTGGAACTTGAACTCACAGCCACTGGGTTCCTAGACTGCTAGAATATGAAGAACAGTAACCTCACTTAAAAAGAAAAAGTAACAGAGGAGCACATAGCTCAAGTGGTACAGTGCATGCTCAGCATGCCTGAGGTCCTGGGTTCAATTCCCAGTACCTCCTCTAAAAAATAAATAAAACCAAATACCTCCCACTGTAAAAAAAAAAAGTTTAAAAAATAAAAAAAGAAAAAGTACCAAAATAAACAAACAAAAAACCCTCTAGGGACTGTTTTAACCGACCCTGCATTTAAGTAACTAAATTAAAGGTTTTCTAACAGCTCTATATATTTACTCATGTGATGCCTTTAAAAAGTCATTCAAAAAGATTATTTTCCCTATTCGCTTGAAATTAAATGAAGATATAAAAATTTCACATTTTGCATTTTTAAGATAATTTGAACCCATAAACTTATCATAGTGAGTGATGTCAGTGGATCTTCAGGAAAAATCCATCTAAAGGCCTGGAGAGTGGTATGAATTAATGGAAAATGAAAGGATCATACCACAGAAAAGATACCTCCCTGCACAGGAATGCAGGCCGCTGTCCCCAAGGCTGCCACTGAGCTGGGGGTGGGGGAAGTAACAGGGTAAGGTAAAATGCCCCAGAGCTCTCTAACTGAAATTTGGCAGTTTTTTCCCTTATTAACCATTCCCCTGGTTATTATAAGTTTTCATTAATTATTCTGACAGCTTTTGCCAGCTTACTTGTTTTGAGCGTGTGTGTGGAGGGACAGAGTTTTGGAGTCTGATGGCCCTCTTTCCTATGAGTCATGCTGCTTTACCAACCACCATCATCACTTTACTAACTATTACAACTGGTTCCTTCTTCCCAGGCCAGGAATAGGTTTTCTTCAATGATAAGCAGTCACTGTTGAAGATAAGATGCTGTTTCTTTCTCAAGAGGTCACAGTCTATAAGAAGAGGCTCCTACCTACATTATTTTTTTAAGTCTTTAAAAAAAAATTTTTTTAATGGAGGTACTAGGATTAAACCCAGAACCTCATGCATGCTACAGCATGTGCTCTACCACTGAGCTATATTCAACTCCCACCCCCAAACCCCAGGCTCCTACCTTTAAAGAGTCAAGATTTCTTTCCTTTGGCCTCTGTCTTAAGTTCTTCTGTTTAGAACTATCTTAAAACTGATTCCCATATCCCCACAACTATTTCTTCAAAATACTTTACTTTCTTAGTTTTCTTTTCAGTTATCTCTTCCATTTCTTCTTAACCAGCCAAAGAACAGCAATTATTTCTAAAGAATGTTTGGCTCTTTAAAGCACGAATACCACGAGTATACGATTAAAAAGAAAAGAAACATAAAACATTTCCTATAGTTCATTGGAAAAGTCTCTCCAATTTCCATACCACAATTTCCTGGCTTCCTGTCTCTTCTACTACTATTAGGAAAATTCCTTCTGGTGTGGATCTGGTCACCAACTACAGCACCATGGGTGTATTAATGTGAAGGACTTCTATTACTGTTCACAGGGAGTTTATTCAGCATTTGATGGAGTGTCATAGTAGACCCATTGAAGATAATAAAATATATTTATTAAATGCATACTGATTTAGAGAAGTGACCATTATTTAGAAGAAACGAATCTAAACTTCTTAACATCAATAGCTATAAGTAAAATGTAACAATACAGTCATACCTCATTTTCTGACATCATCCCTGGAGTAAGCTGGGGACCTGTTCCTAAGGAAATGACCAACACCTCTTCTGGTTGTACCTCCTGGATGGTTTCTTGAGCTGATCCTTCATGATCCATATGTAAGTCCATTAGTATATTGGTGCGGCTTCTGCTCCGAGTTGCTAATAAAAAATTTCAAATGAGATAATTCAGAGAAAAAAGACAAAATGAAGAAAATAGCACACTAAATACAAAAATATATTTTCTATTAATGTGGAACATTTGCACATGCACACACACAAAAAAAGAGTGGTGAGAATATGAGAAAGAAAAAAAAGCCCTTTAACTTCCCCGCTGTGCTATCAATGACTAATACAGATTCTTCTTCAAAACTGATCAATAGAAACAATGATCCATGTTCATCTGACAAGGAATGACACACAGATGACTACACCTGCAGGCCAGCAAACACATCCCAATCAATTTAAGACTTGGGGGTGAAAAGAAAAACAATACCTTATTCCTTATCTTTTCAAGATAGCTTCAATTATTTCTCCTGCACAATGATTTAATTGCCATAGGTCTCTCATACTAATAACTAAACCTACAGGCATTACAAAGTTTCATATAGAGATCTGACAGCCACATAGTTATATACATTAATTAGGCAACTGTTGACAAAACCAGAATCAGTTCTTGAAAACACACTGCTTTTCCTGAAATGTATTAACCTCTTTCAAAGATGCAGAAGAGAAGATGCCCTGTGTTTGAACATAAGTTTCCTTTCTGCTTTACGGGAACAATCTAAACCAATAAGGATCTAATTATTTGGGGGTGTTTTTCCCTACCTATAAGTACATAAGTAATAGCTTTTTCTAAAGTACTCCATCTATGGATTTCACAAGAACTTTTGGAAACTAAAAGATTTAGATAGTTTGTGACAACTTCTCTGTGACTATTAGTCTTCTGCGAGGACAATAAAATTCAACACAACCAGAATATTAAACAGAAATTCTCTTTCAGTGCAAAATAATCAAAGGCACAGACATAAAGCAAAACACTCCAGAGTAACAAGTCTTTCAACTTCAGTTTGAGTGAAAGCAGACCTATCTGAAGACAGAAATAGAAACAATCATTTTCTCTCCAGGATGCTGTAGATGTGTTTATCAACCACTCTTACTTTCAAAATCAAAGTACATCAACTTCCAAAAGTCTAAAACAGGTTCACTTAACATTTTTGCTGACCCTCACTGTCTTCTCTTTAATTGTAAACTTAAATACAATTTTATGAACTACATGAATCTTAGGTGACAAACTTTACAATTTATAAAAATGCAAGTAATCAAAATTCATGTAGCAATTTACATAAAACAAAAGCAACATCCACGTGGAACACAATTTCATAAACCATCTCTAAAATATAAGATATATAAGGAAGAACAGCCTATTACCCACCAAATGGGGTTACTAGAGTGATATGAGCAGTAAGATTGGTGGCTGAGGAATCCCAGGCAGTGATGGCTGCTAACTGTTGTCCTGGGTTGCGAAAGCATTAAACAAAAAGAAAATCAACCCTCTGAATAATGGACACATTTTTTAAAAAAATGAAGTTCAATGACCTGGTCACATGATTATACAGAATAATGCCGGGCAAACATTTGAAATTTACTTCCCATTAGACCCATATTTAATGGCACTTCTGGATGACAAGAAATGAAAGAACTAATGTACATGAGTGAATCATGGAAAAGAAGAAAATCTCTGGTTTACCAAAAATCATTTATTTCTTCATGTTAAAAAAGGTGCAAATAGCCTGTAATATTAAAGATCACTGAGTGTCAAGTTTCTTTTTTTTTTCTATTTTTAATTCTGAAAATTGACATTTTGGGATGATGAAAGCTAAAGTCTTAAAGAATATGATGCCACATTTCTGTTAATTATATTATTCCATTTTATGTTAAATGTAAGGTACATTAATTTTAACAAGTTGACAGTTCTTAACAAATCAGTTCTTAAGCGTTTAAAAATGAAATCCCATTCTTCCAAATGCATAAAATACAATTACTATTCATGCTAACTGTCGCTGAGCTCCTCATTATCATTTAAAATTTGGCACTAAAATCCTCTGCTCCCTTGGCCTAAACGCTCCTTCCGTGCCTTGTTTACTTTGTCTAACTTCCATTCATCCTTCAAGAGAAAGCACAGGGTTCACTTGCCCCAGGATCTTCTCCTGACAGCATCACGACATGGTTAAGTTAGGTGTTCCCCTCACCCTTTGCCTATCTCCATTAGACACTCAGTACACTGAAGGGTGCTGGTCTTTTCCAAGGTCTCTCCTACTAGACTATCCGCAACTAACTTGAATGTAAGGGCATGACCCCTTAGGTCTTTGTATCACCAGTGTCGAACACAGTGCCTCACCTGCCAGACAGTGATTATACCTACTCTTTACGTGGATTTTTTGCATGAATTAAATGTGAAACAACATTTAGAAAGTGTCTGGTACATAGTATATGCTCAATTAATTTGTGAATATATGTAGATAATAAATGTTTACTAAGGAAAGAAAGCTTAATTCCTAATTCTTAATGAACTTGACCAAATAAAATGAAACTTTTGCTTAATTTTATAAAATAACAAGACCTTAACTCAGTCATTAGAAAACTATTAGTGATAATAATGGAAAAATAGTAACTACATATTTTCAACTTTACTGACAGAAACTTCTAAAATAAAATTATTTTATTATATGATTTAGAACTTTGTGGAAAGAACAAGGGCTACGTAATTCAAATGATGACTACTTATAACAAATCACATTTTCAAAATTTTCCGAGACACTAAAAACACAAAGTATACAAGTGGCATGATTCCCATTAATTATGAAAAGTTATGTCTAGATAAAGCTAAAGCCTACTGATAAAACAACTAATCTGGTGCAATTTTCAACAATTGAATTACCATCAGGAAAAACGAAGAGACTTTACCAAATTATTTAAACCTATATTCCAAAACACAAAGCAATAACAAACACTAATAAATATTAAATTTAAGGGAAGCCTCAATATAAGAAATTCTCTTTACCGATAGGCAATCGATTCTTTTTATTTGCTGGTGTGGTTGCTGGAGACAGCTGAGGAGTATTGTAGGGAGTCATTTCCAAACTGCTGCTTTTTCCTGGCTTCGCCTGGGGTAGGTTTGCCAATAAATTGTCAAGAGCCATTCTATCTTCTCTCAGTTGATCTCCAGACATCACACTCTTCATAAAATTCACCTGGCAAAAGTAAAAGGCCATTAGCTTGTGAAATCAATTTTTCAAACACAATACACATTTCTCACACAATGTCCTCATCTAGGACTCTGCCCATGTTCAGATAAATGACTTTTGAGGAAATCCTATTAAAGAATAAAGCCATTACCAGAGTAATAAGCTGACTGTAGGTTATATAAACCACAGTTCTACTCAATCCTTCCAGAAGATTAACGGAGGACATTGGCGGGGTCTCCACTGCTCGGCCTCCAATCACAACATCAAGGAAAGCAGCAACACAACTCTGTTCAAATAGGGGGAAAAAATCACAGTGAAACATTTCCTCTTTAAAATAAGGGAACAAAATTTCTGATTATGGTAGACAAGCATGCAGAAAGTTTTTCCTCTTGAAAATTATTTTAAACTCAACATTAAAAAAATTAAACTATGAAAAAAATTAAACTATGAATTGATATAAAATAATCTGCAAGATATTCTGGTATGTGAAACAAACATGGTGCAGAACAGTGCACACAATCCTACCACCTGTAATTAGGAAAATGTATTAGGAATGTGCTTGTATACATTTAACCTTCTTGATGAAGACACAAAATACTGACAACAACAAGAAACTTTAGGGGAGGAAATGAGGGTTAGTGATCACACGTTGAAAGAAAATTTCACTATATATCCTTTAAATTTTAATCTAGGTTGAATGTACAGCCTATTCAAAATATGATCAACTAAATTTTTAGTTAAACCAACTAAACAATGTCATGTTAATTTATGAAAGGTGTACAATTATTGCTGATTCATACACTCACAGATTTGATTTACTGACAATTTTTAAAAAGCAATATTTAAAAATAAAATAATCTTAATAGCTCTTCAGTTCTCATTACAATGGCATCTCCTCAACATCTCTATAATGAGAATCAGTAATCTTTGATGACATCATCCTCTAAATGCTGCTGATCCAACATTGTATCCTCTACAGCCAGACCAAGAGTTACTGAAAAGAATATTTAATTTACACATCACTGGGGACAAGATTTAATAAAGAAAACAGTTAGGTTCACTAATACTTTAGCAGAACTTTCTATAAACAGTACTTCACGTGACATAGTATTCATTCTTACTTTGTCGAATTTTCCAAGGCTGCTCTTTGTCCGGGGATCTCCCTCTTCAGAGCCAGTCATTGCTAACTGCTGCAAAAGGCGGCCAACCTGCAACCCAGAGCAGAGGTAGAAGACACACTGTAGATACTTATATAGATTCCTCCCTGAGAAAGCATTTCCATTCCATTAAAAAATCTGTTTCATGAGAATATTCACACCATCTGACCAGGCATACAAAATAGGATTCCAGGGGTGGGAGGTATAGCTCAGTGGTAGAGCATGTGCTTGGTGTGCACGAGGTCTTGAGTTCAATCCCCAGTGCCTCTGTTAAGGGGTAGAGGGGAGCAAAACTTAAAAAAAAAAAAACCCAAATAAAATGTGTTTCTTGTCTACATCAGCTTTTACTATATTTTATTATATTTAAGTTGAGTTATTAAGACTACATAGAGAATTTTGCTTTGGCTTTAACGCCTATTAACACTAGGAAACGAGGCAGGCAACCTTTGCTTCTGATACTGTATTTTTTCATGTGTTTAGAAATTACTTTTCCCTGAAGTTCAGAGTACTCAAGGTAGAACTTATCTTTCTACATTTAAAAGCAAACAATTCCTACAGAACACAAGCTGTTTTGAAAGTAAACATGAATTCACAGAGCCTGTTCCTTACTGCTGAAAGTGAACTGTTAACCCTCTCTCTCTAAAGACACTTCAAAGTATTATACAGCATCATCTTCTTCATGTCCAGGACAATCCCTCTTTTTATTTATTTTGAAAAGATGTGATTCAATCTCTACTGGAATGACAAAAATAAAACTGTAACTACACTATCATAAGAATAAATGTGGTATTTCACAGATGATAAAAAATTTAATACTTTATTTCAGAGATTTCTATATAGTTAGTTTCTAAACACCCCAACATGATAGAACTGATCATGAAAAAAGTTTATCATTAACAAAGTCACCCAAAGATAAGATATATTCCATTCCAAATAAACTCTGTCTCTTCTTCACAGTATTTGATATGATAAAAGGATTCCCTTAAGAAATAATAACATGATTTCAGTAGTTCAGATGATTAGGGGAAAAAGTGCTAATATAGATTCAAAAATCCTCTTTCTGAAACTCTTAGATCCAAAAGAGTTTCAGATCTCAAAATTTGGAGACTTCAAAAAGGTTGGTTACTGTATACATGTAATATGTCTAGTATTCAGGTTGGTGTCCTACAATGAGACATTAGCATTCCTGCAGCAAAACATGAGTATTTACTAACATGAAATGGAATAACTAACAATTATAAACAGCCTCATGTTGGTTCAGATTAGGTTTTGCTACCAAATGAAGTATAAAAGACACTCTCAGTTTTCAATCATTCTGGATTCTGGTTTTTTTCCCAATCATTCTGGATTTTGAAATCATGGGAAAGGGACGGTGGGCCTGTTCTAGAAAATATAATCAACTATTCATTCATCAAGTGTGTGAGGACTTCGTTTAAAAACTAACACAAAATGTAAGAAACAAATATTTAGGACGGTTTGGGGAAAAGGAATGGTAAGAATATATGAATAATGTCGTCATATTTTCTGTTCTACCCCTAGTGCCCAATCAACTGATTTTAAACGGAATGCCACATTAATAACAGCAAGAGCATACCTGCATCAGATTAAATCTTGCCACCTCATTAATAGGAGCATCAGAAATTATTCCATACTGTTCTGGATTGACAACTGCAGGACAAATGAAGCAGGCCAACAGGAGGTCAGTACACATTGCCCTGACCTCCCCAATTTCCAGTCTATCTACACAGGAGAGAGTTTTGTACATCTGTGACACAATCCACCTCAAACTATGTGGAAAACAATATGTGTTCTGCTTGAGATAACCAATAAATTTGTTCACCAAAGCCACTAGCTTGGCTTCATTGGAATCCACCATCTCTTGAACCTTTTGCCTGAATCTATCTGAGCCTTTCTCTCCAAAGAGTTTTTCCTGTTGAGATGGGGAGAACCTCTCAATTAGCTTGTTTGGATCAGTTTCCAGGTGATCTTCATCTTCAACAAGCAGCTGCATGATTGGCTCATGTAAAGTGGCTGTGAGGAAAAGTTTGGCAGAAAACAGTCCTTCAGAAAAAAGTTTAAATAAGATGCTGAAGGCACAAGTTCCTCTCCTCAAAAGTCGCCTGGGGTTGTCACTTTCTTTAAGTTCAAATTCAATCAAGTATCTCAAAACCTGAAGGAGGTAGCTTTCATCTTCTTGCATAATGCAGTTGCCATAGAGAGAGGTAAAAACTGTGTAAATAACACTTTGTGTGTTCTCCTGATTAAGTTTCTCTCCAGCAACCAAAGAGGAGGCAATAAGACGAGGATTTTCCCTTAATCGACTCAAGAACTCTCCATAAGCAGTCTCCTGAAATCCCAATTGCTTATATCCATCAACAAACTGTGTATCCTCCAAAATCTTGGCATGTTGGCAACATTCAGCAGGGGAAGCTTCAGCACTAAAAATGGGCAAACAAGCAAAATAATAAAATTAACAACAGTAATAATGTAACACATATACTATACTGAAACATGGAAATGTGAGTTGATTATAGCCCCAGCACTGAGATCACATGGAACTGCTAAAATCTTTTAGATCACCAGCACCTGAATGTGTAAAGAAAGTCTAAACCAAAAAGTACAAAGGACAAATTCCTTACATTAAATCAGGTTTAATGAAAAGTAGCAAGAAGTAACCATTATTCTGATTTCTATCATCAAAGATTAGTTCTGCCTCTTCTTGAACTTTATACATAAGGAATCATACAAGATGTACTCTTCTATGTCTGGCTTCTTTTCTCAACAGTACACCACAGCACCACTATTTCTAGAGTTAAAAACTGCTTCTTGGAACAACAGAACAATGAAGTATTAACAGTGAAAAACAAAGCTTCTAAAACTGTAAAGTAGATACACAACAGCAAGACACGAAAATGTATATGTTAATATTTGGAGAAAAGTAGAACACAAGATAATATACTCTCTACAATAATAAAATGTTATATAATACCAAAATATAAAATTAACTGATGTGGTATGAAATATTAATGTTTAAGTTATAATTCTCTACAGTGCTTAGGTTAATAGACAAAATAAGCAAAGATTCACCATTGAGATGCTGATTTAAACTTTCTTAAACCATGTACTTTGTTGGAAATAGATTTGTTTATTTGCAGTTAGCAATTATATAACTGCTATAAGCAGAATTATGGAGGTCCATAAAATTTAAGACCTCAAAACCTTTTCTTTACCTGGTTATGATAAGCCGATCCAAATTAATTCTCTGTTGCTTAGCGATCCATGCTGTACGATACAGCTTTTCAGCTGTCTTAAGTACATCTGCATTGAGCCTCTGAATGAGCTGTTTCTCGGAGTTTACATATAAGCGTTCCTGCTTGAGGTGATGGGCCAGAGTATGAATATCTAGTTTCACCATCTTCAAATGTGGAAAAGGTACAAAGGCTGATCACTAAGAGTAAAAATAAAAAAGATTAAATTTTACATCACTTAAATTGTTTTCCAAAAATCAAAAGAGGTAGGAGAACACATTAAGAATTAGGCTACATTTAGTATCATGGTTAACTCTAATTAAAAAAAAATATATATATACACACACATGCATATATACATATTCCTATATATATACATACACACACACATATATATTTTTTTATAATAGAAGCATTACAGGTTCAGTATAGAAAAACTGGTAAATACACATAAGCAAAACAAAAAAAAGAAAAGCTCTTAGGCCAGGACTCAGAGGCAGCCACTGTGAACACCATGCATATATCCCTCAAGTCCATGCCTATTTATTAACACTGGGCTCTCCTTGACTACTGTCTTCTGCACTGCAATCAATCAACACAGCCAGTTGATCCTTTCTTCAGAGTATCTCAAATTTGACTTTCTCACCACCGTCATCACCATCTTTCACTCAAAGGTCTCTAACCACCACTTCTAACTGATCTCCCTGCTTCCTTTCTTGTTTTACTAGAGTCTGTTCTCCACATAGCATAGAGTATCCTTTAAACTTAAGTCACTTTATTCATTTTGTTCCCCTACTAGAAACTGTCCAAAGGCTTATTTTACACTCAGGATGAAATCTTAAGGTTGTACATCATCAACCCCTGGCTACTTCTCCAACCTCACCTGGTACCATCCTAACTCTTGCTCACACAGCTCCAGACACACTGACCTCCTTGCTTGAACAGATCAAGCATGCCCCTCCTCAGAGCCTCTGCATTTGCTGATCCCTCTCTCAGGGAGGCTGGCTATTCCTCCAGATACCTTTGCAAGGCTACTGCCTTTACTTCATTCAAGTCTCTCTGTTCAAATGTCTACTTAGAAAGGCCTTCTAAGACAACTCATTCTAAAACAGAAAATATCACTTCCTATTCCCTCTTCTGGCCTTTTTTTAGGAGCACTCATCCCTACCCAGCATTATATTACATGCGTGTTCCTCATGCTTAGAGTATGGCTCCCCCTCTAAAAGGCAAGGGCCCCCATGGCCAAGTCTTGTCTGTTTTGTTCACTCACAGCTGTAATTTCAAGGCTGAGGAGAGGGCCTGGTTCACAGCAGGAGCTGAATACACATTTGCCAAAGGAATGAATGAAATCACTAGATATTCTTGTTTATCTAGTAGCTAAAGAAACTGATATAAATAGCACACATTATTTAAGCTATACCCTTGATTTAATAGCATCATTATTTAAGCTATACCCTTGAAGCTAGAATGCCTGCCAGGCTACAGATGTTTGATATCAGCAATAGAAGTGCTTGTGGCCCAGACAGCAGAATAGATGTGTCCAAACAGCAGTCATTAAGTTAGAAAAATATTTCTCATTAAGAATTAAACATTATGACTATACACTTGAAAGTTGCTATGAGAATAAAGCTTTAAATGTTCTCACAATAATAATAAGAAAATGATAATTACATGAGGTAAAGGATATGTTAACTAACCTTACTGTGGTAAACATTTTATAATATATGTGTATCAAATCATAATATGCCTTAAACTTTCACAATGTTATATGTCAATTATACCTCAATAAAGCTAGGGGAAAAAAGTTGTCCTGGCCAATCAGATACATAAGTGACCTTAATGGATTTATTTGGAATTGATAAAACACAATTTGTAGTAAATTCAGATTCTGGAAGGGGTGACAACCTAGACTGCAGAACTCTCAACATGTTTAGAGAGCCAATGAAAACATGTTCATGTATATGAAACAGACATTTTTGGTGCTAAGACAAAAAAAGAATTAAACATTATGGTAGCAGAAGGAAATATATTTAAAGACACCTCATCTAAAGAAATGGATTCAATAATTTTTAATTCAGTTTGATTTAAAATTTTTTAAACTTTCTTCTGTTTTAATGAACTACTACTGATGACTAGGAAAGTTTCAGATATTACCATCTTACCTGAATTTAACTGCTTTCAAAATACACTTTCTTGTACCTTTTCTTGTACCAACTCCCTAGCAAACTATGCAAAGCTATTATTCCAAATCTCCTGTATGAAGACCTTCACATTGCTTTCCTCTCAAAAGCATAAGTATGTCTACTTCACCAAGATAATTCACTATTAAGTTAGTCACAAAAGTATCTGTGTACATTTTTTTAAAATTGGTGGCATACATACATATCCATATATAATCTTATTAATTCAGTGTACAGAAAACACATAGGACTTCATAGAAATCCATGTGGAAATTCTAACATCCTCTAGGGGGCTCTAAATCCATAGACTATGAACAGAATCACTGAACAAGTGGTTATAATTATGAGAAGTATTACACTTGATGAAAACAGTAGTGAAATAGGCTCTTAAAGATCTATATGCCTCATTAACTACTTCTGCTACCTTGGGTACATAATGCCTATTCTCTGAACCTCGAGGGGTTTTCAATCCATAAAACGTGGGCACAACATCTACATTTATTTTGTGCCTGGCACGAGCAACATTTTAGGTACTAGGGATATTAAAAAGGATGAAATCTAGTATGTGCCCTCAAGGACTTTCTAATCTAGTAGAATGAGGCAGACATGCAGGCATATGGCTGCCCCTAAATGTTATGGGCATCATGCTGGAAGACTACAACCAGGGATGAGAAAAGTTAGGTACCTGCATTTTTTAGTCTTAAAAGACAAGTATTTGGTCAGGGAATAAAAGGCATTTGCCAGACAGAGAGAGGACAGGGGGTAGGGGTAGAATTCCAAATACAGGAAGGCAACTAAGCAAAGGACCAGAGGTGTGTAACACAGAGTATATTCAGAGAAGTACACATGGTTTGCTGCAGTCTGGGGGCACGTGCGTTTCTGTGTGTTAAGAGTGAGGCTGGAGGCAGGGGAGGAAATGTCCAGTGATATAAGGCTACAGAGACAGAAGGTACACGGAAGCCAGTGTTAAGAAATTGGGATTTGCACTGTAGGCGATGGGGAAAGAGTTTAAACAAAAGATTAACATGATTAAATTTACATTTGAGAACATAAACTTTGGCAGTAAGGAAAAGGATGAGGAGGTGGGGATGGAACTAGATGAAGAGAGACTAAGAATTGTTGACAGACAAGAAATACTGCAGTGCTAATGCAAAGAATAGGAAAAATCTGAGAGGTATCAGGAGGTAGAAAATATAAGATTTGCTGACACCTACACATGGAGAAGGCAAGGTAGAAGTTTCCAACTCTGGTGACAAGGGCTGGTGGTGGTGGTATGCACCACAATGAAGTATCATATGAGAAAACACTTTATAAACTGAAAATTGTGTCTGGTTTGGTTCTAAGAACTGTACACACTCCATCTTCATAATATCCCTCTGAGATAGGTACTCTGCAACTAAGGAAACTGAAGCTCAGGGATATTAAGTAACTTGCACAAGGCCAAAAGGTGAGACGTGATAGAGCCACTGCACTATTAATTACTCCAACTCTACAAGAATGACTGAGAAATCTTGTGGTTACACAGGAGAATATCTTATTTTTAAGAGATGCACGCTCAGAAGTGAAGTTTTAGGATGTCTGGAACTCACTTGTATGTGGTTCAAAATAATTAAGAGATTTTTAAAATGCAGCAAAATGTAAACAACTGTTGAATCTGGTTGGTGGGTATATATATGATGATCATTGTACTAACCAACATTTTCTGTATGTTAGAAATTTTTCATAATAAAAGGACAGAAGAAAACATTTTAGAAATTCTCAGATCGTACCCTTCTTGCTGCCTCAATACACTTCTATTTAAACAAATATATTACTGGCTTTTGTTGGAACCTAGCCAAGTCCCCTAACCTCAAGGAGCTCACAATCTAATCACAACCGAAATACTGCTCAGGATAGGATGCATGAAATGATTCCAATGACACTGCAAAATACAAACCAATTTATGCAGTTTAGAAATTAAAACCTTCAAATAAAGCTTCACTTTAAAAATTAACATATGAAAGTACTGCTCCATCTGATCTGAACAAGAACTCACCTTCTAAACCCTTCAATAGTCCAAAATTTCTTCAAAGACATTATTGTAAAAATATTTTAAATAAACCCAGAACACTAGATAAACTTGCTAATAAGCATTTTTTATCTTTAATGAAGTTCATCAGACTACACTACCCCTGGTTGTTGCAGTCATATACTACAGTCTCTCTCTTCCTCCGACACCCCAAAACTCCCATGATCATTTGACCCCACCAAGACTTTTCAGCCATTAATCCTACCATCTTTTCTTTTTCTTTTTTTATTTAACTACCTCACTCTCTTCTGT